ACATGCACACACACTGTAGCTTTACCTGGCTTTCATGAACTCCTCCACCTCCTTGCACGTCCTCTTCCCATCGTTGAGATACTGGATGATAGTGTCGTAGCCAACGGTGCAGATCAGGTCTTGGTTCTGTCAGTAATATGGAGACCATTTAATTTTTTTGGTTATAGATGGGGTTCTTTACATAGATTATACTGTATGTTCTCTTTACAGATAGTACATTATACATTAACATTACTTCCAAAACAGATACTTTGGACATACTACTTCTATATAGTTGGATCTTTGAGTGTGTAAATTGGTGTTTTTAAATGCACATCTCCATAATTTAAGTAAGCTCAGTGTAGCAGCCTGTAATTATCCAAACCTCATGAATGTCAAAATCTAACCGACCGGGGCCTTTTAGTTGTATCTCACGTATACAAGGAATGTACTACATTTATCTGACAACTATTTACTTAAAAATGGATTTCACATACACAAATGATGTATTATTATGAACAACCAAACATATATAAAAGTTCAAATTGGCTCCACTTCACCAGTATGATGCTACTTACATATTAAAGTATAATAATGTGTTTAAAAATAATAATGTGAACGCCCAGGGTAATTTTTCCTGCATTCAGTATTTTTTTTTACTTTGGCTACTTTAAGCAAAATAAAAAATTAAGTAACGCTGATCATATTCATTCCATCACTGAAGGACTTTTACCTGTACCAGAGTATTGTCACAGTGTGGTGTTAGAACTTTTACTTAATGTCTTCCACCACTGCATAAATCAAAAGCTGGGAAACCTACTGGAAGAAGATAAATAAATAAAAAGTGTTTCTATGTCTACCACAACTCGATGAGTTAAGTGAAAAGAGAAATGACTCGGCGATACGCGTCCCTTTATAACAGCGTTTTACGACCAAAGGTTAATAGGCTATAAAAATAAGAACGAATAAACAGGCTACAGAAACCACACAACAGGTAACTCACCCAGAAGAAATCCTTGAAATTTTTATTTTTCATATTGCAGGAGAGAAGAGTAATGTTCCAGCGGCTGTTAACGCGCTCAGTGTCCTCAGTTTGTTAAAGACACAGTGACGCATGCGCAGTGAGCATTGGGGTGGGGTGGGTAGTTTGACCACCAGAATTCATTCAAAAATCTTTCTGTTTAATATTTTCGTTCATACCAGCTGAACGCACACACAAGTAGATTGACAGTTAGGATCTATTACGAATCCTTACTGTCCAGTTGTGAATTCAGCTTAAAGGTCATTCTCAAAGCAGCAAATAAATCCAGACTTTTATCCAAACTGCTTCTCAACGATTAACTAATTAAAATTTGACCCGTGCAGGACTGTGGTTCATGCGGTCATATAGCCTATTTATCCTATAACCTACTGTGTCCACAAGTTCTTCTATAACCTTGTTCACGTATTTAGTCTTAATTGGAAATGGCAGGTGCAATCAGTCACTTGTTGCAGTATTGCAGTCTGAAGGAAATTAAAGGTAGTGTTTCTGCAGTAAAAATGACTGGGCTGCTTTTGACTACATTACATTTATTTGTCAGTTTTGTTTACTTACTTTGCCGATTAAGATTTTACTGACAAAAACGTGGTGCTTAGACAATACTTAAGTGGTTCAAAGCACATCCACCTCCAGAAGCTACAACATTAAAATACTTCTTACACACATTATGAATGAATCAGTGATAATAAATGAATGCGTGTTATATGAATGGTAAACAAAATATAAACTAATGACAGTGCATTGTATTTAGTACTGACAGGTCAATACTGCTCTCTGTTGGACAACACTGAAAAGAAATCCTTTGTTTTCTGTGTGTTATTTTAATGTGCCATGAAAAAGTGATGTCACAATGATAAATGATTCAGTCAGTTACACAAAAAAGTTAAATAACTCTCATTTAAACTTCTTTTTTAGTATCACTTTGCATAATTTGCAGCACAAAAATAATTTCTGCTATTGAATATAATGTAATATTGTTGGTGACATCTCATGTATGGCTGTGTTTCCATTGCGTTAGTGTAACAGATTGATTGTATCTTTCTTTCATTTTCTCTCTTTCTCAGTCCTGGTCCATTCAGTAGGCTATTTATAGGCTTAGACCAGGGTTTTTATATTCATCATCTGCCCACTCCCATCAGGACGCTGTAAATATGACAGAGAACAGGAGTTCAAACTATCCTGTCAGTTTCCACCATGTTAGCATTAATTGTAGTTAATGTTTTACTGTTTATTTACAGTGTATTTTGTTGTCTCTCCAACTTTAACAGAGGGATGGATCTATGTCCACAGATGTATTGCACAACCTATTTCCACAACATAAAGTTTGTTGACATATAAAATTATCACTTGACAAAACCATGTAATGATGGCAAACATGTTCATAATACATTTGCAATGGAAACACCTTCCCTGCCTTCACGATGTGGACATGAAAGACGAGGCCTGTGTTCTTTACAACCATGTGACCATTCGACACTAGAAACGAGGCTGTGCTTGAAAATGAGCAGCGGTCAAAAGTAGATACTTCAGTATTTATGTGCAGTTTGAGGTATTTGTACTTTACTGAACTTTTAAACTTTTGTGACAGAATTAGTCACTTTACAGATTAAGATGTCACATAGTAACATATGTGTTAAAAATAAAACCAGGGGTTTAAATAATTGTTGCAAAGGTGCAAAGAAAATTAGCTAGAGTTGCAGCTTCAGATGCCTCCTGGGCGCCTTCCTAGGGAGGTGTTCCGGGCATGTCCCACTGGGAGGAGGCCCCGGGGAAGACCCAGGACACGCTGGAGGGACTATGTCTCTCGGCTGACCTGGGAACGCCTCGGCATTTCCCCGGAGGAGCTGGAGGAAGTGTCTGGAGAGAGGGAAGTCTGGGCATCTTTGCTTAGACTGCTGCCCCCGCGACCCGGTCCCGGATAAGCGGAAGAAAATGGATGGATGGATGGATGGATATAATAACTAGCTGTATTACCTATCAATTAAAAAGATTAATCAACTAATCAACTCATTACAGCTCTAAAATGCTCCAATATTTCACAAGAAAGCAAAAATATGAGTGAAATTATGCGAATTTGTGTAGCAGAACTTTGTTGTTTTATTTTTTCTATCTCATTTATTATCTCATGACCCCTAAGATTTATGTTGTGACCCTTTGGAGGGGCCTGACCCCTAGGTTGGGAATCACTGGACTAAAACACCAAAGTGAACAGCAGGTAGAACTACTGTAGCTCCACTTCAATTACTACAACAGTCAAAATGCTGCTTACATGCTGATTCAGCTGTTATTCCACAGTATAAGTACTTTTACTTTTATTACATTAAGTACACCTTTTACATTATATAGTTTTACCTTTATTTAAATAAGATTTATAACTCGTGTTGGAGCACTTTTACATTAATGTATTGTTACTTTTACTTCAGGTAAAAGGTCAGAATACTTCTTTCACTACTGGAAATTCATTTCACAATTCATATAGTCCTGTTGTTTATATGACTCAGCTCTGTGACGTGTTCAGATCATCTGACTGCAGACCTATGCAGTTTCGACAGACATTTTATTTGATGTGACACGTTGCAAATGAATACGTTGCAACTCAGTACGTCACTGCTTTCACTTTGTAGACATGTGACCTCATTCAGTACCTTTCTAATACAATGTATGTATATATGTAAACTAAAGGTACAAAACACCCACTATCAGGTACAAACAGTACAGGTGTGTGTTGTGTTCTGCAGAAAGTTGCAGGTTTTATATGTTATCTGCTGATTAAAGCTGCCCATAACTTGTAAACATGGCAGTGTATGTAATATGAGTGACAGGAACGTAGCTGTGACGTAGCTGGGGATTTCTCAGCAGCCATAAAATACGTCACCACTCGTATTTAAGCCTTGTGCTTCTATCAATAGATCAAACCTGTTCCTTCTCGTCAAGCCACAACTACAGCGCTTTAAAAGCACAGAGGGAAAAGAAAAACTGAGCTTTTAAAGGTGTCTTCTCTTTCCCAGACATACAGAAGCTTTATAAACATGGCTGAACATGGTGAGTACCCAGGAAGATTTGAATTTTAATCAAGCTTCATGTAATATGTAAATGTAATATTCTCAACCTGTGTCTTATGCACTCAGAGTTTGCTGCCACTGTTGATCACTTTGCACGTGAACTACGTCAAGTTGGAGACGAACTTTACTGGAGATACAAACTGCTGGAATTATTGATTAAGAACTACAAAAGTGTTTATAAAATCAAGTGACACATGATGTCATCAAGATGAACTGGATATTGCTAAACTGGAAGATATTCAACCAGCCAAAGCTGAAGAGTCCTAGATATAAACTCACCACGTAGTAAAATGGGGACTCTCAGGTGTGCTGAGCATAAGCTTGTGGAAACACCTTGCTGTGTGTGGACTGTCAGCCGACTGCAGACTTATAGTGGAGTGGAGCCCAGATGTATGTGGTGCTGCTGATCCACTCATTCAGACCCATGGACGATTGGACCAAAGAGGATTTTCTGAATGGGAGTAGTTAGTGGAAGAAGTTGATTTTCACGTGTACTCTGTACATTCTGCTGCATGTTATTCACTCTAAAGCTGTCGCATTTATGTTAACTGGAGACTTGGAAGAATGACTCATTATATACTCAAAAAATGTTTTTCTTATGAGAAGTATTTGACGAGTTGCTAATAAAAGATGCATATTCAATCAGTCAGTATTTGGCCATGTGTATTCATTCATTCATTTTCTACCGCTTAATCCCTGAACGGGGTCACGGGGCTGGAGCCAATCCCGGCCAGCAATCGGGCGAAGGCGGGGTACACCCTGGACAGGTCCCTAATCCATCCCAGGTCTAACACATAGACGAACAACCACACACGCACTCCTATGGGCAATTCAGAGACACCAATCAACCTAAGCTGCATGTCCTTGGAGGAGGAGGAAGGAAGGGAGGGAGGAGCCTGGAGTACACGGAGAAAACCCAGGCAAGCACGGGGAGAACATGGAAACTCCACACAGAAATGTCCCGGGTGGGGCCCGAAACCGGAGCCTTCTTGCTGTGAGGCAACAGCGCCAACCACCATGCTGGCAGCAGGCCAGGTCTGCAAGATACCCTCATTCACCTAAACCACAGGACAAGGGCTCCACCTACCTGTCAGATGGCTGCTATGATAGTGGTCCCGACGGCTCAGTCATCTGAGCCATGTGTATTATGGTTGTGAAAGTAAACTGCATCGCATCTGTTGAATGAATGCTAGAATAAAACTTTGTTTGCTGATGTAGATTTAGATGACTGATACAACTGTCCTGTAAATTTGTTGTAGGAGCCAGCGGCAGGTTAGCTTAGCTTAGCATCAAGACTTAAAACAGGTGAAAACGGGTAGACCTATCAGCACCTCTAATTCTCACTCAATAACAAATGAGATCTTTCTGGTTTAATAAGTATAAAAACCACAAGTAAAACAATTCACAGTTGTAAGGGGTTGGGATTATATGGCCGTAGGTCAGAAGGACCAGTAACCTGCTGGAGTCTCCACTGGTGGCCTGTAATTTTGCATGGATTGAACAAATGAAACCTTAATTAGTGACCTTGTTGATTTTTGTTTTTGTTAAACATTTGGCAGAGAAGGGCTCCAAAGACATGTTAGTTTAATTGGTAACTAAACTGAGTGAGTTGTCTGTATAAAAAATTGTCTTTTCCTTCAGCTCACTATTGATGTCAGCACTAGATTAGTCTGATAAAACTACAAACTAAGCATCTAATTATTTGATACATTTATGGGAGTATTTAACAAGCTCAAAAGGAGAAAACCAAACACAAATGAAAGTGACCCATGTGTATATATATGAAATAAAAAAGACAACAGCAAAGCAGTGCTAAATTCAGGCACTTAAAGGATCTTTATTTTGTGTGGTAATACAAAAGCATACAGAATTATAGAGGATAGGAGAGAAGATCCCTTTCATTTAATTCCATTAGATCATACACATAAAATGACTAATAATTACATATAAGCTTTTTTTCTGTAGCTACATCCACAAGTACCCCAGTACCCTCCACCAATAGCATGCATGGTCTCTTTGCTGTAAACTGATCTTAATAGTTCTTTTTACCTACAGTACAGGCATTTTGTAGTAAAAAAACAAAAACAAACAAGTATGCCATGAAACAATAGGTGATGTAACTTCATACACAGGTCACACCGGTCGGACCAGAATGTTTTAGTCCTGCACTAAAGCATGTTAAGTTTTGTTGCATGTTTTTCCAACCATTTCAATCTTTAACAAAGGTTTCATCTGAGGCTCAAGTAACCCTCCCATCATCTCCATATATGAAGAAAATACAACCTGTCCACATGGGACTATCAGAGAGAAATTACATTTAATTATGACATGACATACAAACAGAGCAACATTATATTGCAAAAGGAAACTTAAAGGATCAATTCACCCAAATTACACAATATACAGTATTACCTCACTTACCTCACTTACGTTTTCCTAAGGGCGAGTCCTTCAGCTTGAACTAGTTCCACGGGAAACCATTTACAGTAAAACCTGTGGATTAGTAACACGGAAACTTCGGAATGAGATGCCACTGCTGACGACTTTACTGCTGATAAGCGCCTTAAAAGGACACTGCTTCCACCCTCACTGCATTAATCTAGATTCAGATATCTCAGACAGAAAAACAAAATAAAACCAAAAGGTACCTACAAGGCTAGATAGCACTAGTGTTATCTGAGAACATGGGATTCTTTTGACATGTAATTTGGGTGAATTGAACCTTCAGCCTTTTTGTAGTCCAGTTGGCTAAAAACTCCCCGCCTATCTGTATAAGCAACTGCTAATGATCATATTGTGAATCTTGTTTAGGCTATTCAGAAATCCAAATCTGAACAGATTCAATCACTCTCTTCCACCTTTACATCTTGACTTGTACTTAAAAATAAAAGCATAAGCTTTTTATATGTCCAAGGAATGATTTCTAAGTATTCATAAAGATCGATAGCTGTAATAAAAATAAGTGAGATTTATTTTTGATTCATGAGGGGGTTACTCATCACACCCCCAAACAAGATAAACAAAACAATCAATCTATCAGTTCTATCCTACCTACAGGGCTACTGACTGTGCAAAGTAGTTGATAAAATGCAGCCTACTCCAAGCATTGAATAGCAACATAAACTGAAGTGGAGAAATGGAAGACTGGTCTCATTCTTTCAAATCTGAACAGACCACTGGAAAACAGCTAACTAATAAAAAAAATATTTTTAGAATTTTTTTTAGAAAACATATTTAGACTCAAGGTTTAATTCTTCATTTACGTGAGGGTCTATGAGGGCTAAATTACCGGGCTCACTCTTCACGATGTCGCAACTGAATGCAAGTCTGTATTTAGGTCCTCTCTTTCCTCCTTAAAACACAATGAGGAAGAATGTGGAAAACTGAATTTAACAGAGATGAGAGAGTGAAACCTTCAGGTAGTATGTTCTAACAGTAAATAAGCATGAACTCCCAACACAAGTGGGAATGAATAGGGGAAAGCAGAAGACCTATGTGAGTGCAAACAGCATCAATAGTCACGTGAACAAGATCTCTGGCTAGATCTTGAAGCAATGGAGAGATGATTATTTCCTTAGTGTAGAAGGGAAACTTGGGCCCAGTCAAAATCTTCATATTCACCATGACTACTGCTGCCACCTGTTTTGTTCTTTGATGTCATCTAACACAAACCCATCCATATGTAAGGACGTTAATAGGTGCATCCAGCTTCACAGTGGCACATTATTTACCTCACCGTATGAAAGCAGCCAGTCGTTTTTCATTGAGCGATCTTTCCAACCAAATGTTACTTGGTGCAGCCCACCACCAATTAGATTGCACTGGGTTAATAGGGACTACCACCAAAATGTCATCCGGTATAGACGTACAAACAGGCTCCCCAACCAAAACAGATTGTCTCAATAACGTCTGTCTGATTATGTGAAGTCCTTCAATCAATTAAATAACACAGACCATAGCCAGATGTTCCAGTACAACCAGGCAGGTGTTTTCATTTAGTGAACGCAGCCACCACAGCCCACATAAGTTCATTGGCGCTGGGCTTTGTGCTCTCTTTCTCTGGCTCCAGCTCTAGCAGGGTGTGGACTCTCTTCATGCCCAGGTCGTACTGCTCATCTTGAAGGGGGGCGAAGGCATTCTCAAGAACGTCGGAAGAGTGGGCCAGAAGGATAAGAGCCAGAACCCGCTTGTCCATGCGGTGGGGATCATTGACCCACTTCTCCAAAACAGAGTCCTGGACCTTCTTGACAAGGCGCTGCAAGAAATAGAAGGAATGTATGTGTTTAATAGCCCTTATATGCATCACATTTAAACATTATATACTGTACATTCAACTAGGTGAAGGAACTAGCATTAAACACTAACAGGAGTAGTTACTATTTTGGGAAATAATACACCTATTTGCTTTCTCCTATCTATCTATTAAAGGTACATTAAAATTTTACACACTGACAAATCAAATGAAAATGGGCCAGGACGTGGTGTCTCTCTGCTATATTCACCCCCTCCATGACGGTCTGCTGCCTACAGCCTACACCCAACAGTCTCTCCTCACCAATACTTGGCTTGAGCTCACACAGGATTAATCTCCCCCACCTACTAAATTCTTTTCTTTTTCTACCCCGCATTCAATACTGAGCAAAAGTCTTGTGAAACCATTTTAAACATGCAGAACTGAGATAGGTTTTTTATGCCACAAAAAGAAGATGCATAACTGTATTCTATTCTTTATGAAAACAAAGAATTACAGTAGGAAACCGTGGTTGAGTAAGGGATTACAGAATGCATGTAAAAAGAAGAATGCGTTATATAAAGAATTCATAAAGGACAGATCCAAGAAGGCAGAAGAAAAATAAAAGTTATATAAGAACAAATTAACTGCGTTGAGGATATGTAAGAAACTCTACTTACTTACTTACTCTACTTACTCTAAAGTATTAGAGGATAATAAAAATAACATGAAAGGTACTTGGAATATATTAAATAAATTGATTAGAAACAGTACCAGCAGGAGTAACTACCCTCTATATTTTATGGACAATGATACACCGGTCAACAGATTTGAGGATGTAGTTGAGAAGTTTAATAGGTTTTTTGTGAATGTGGGTCCTGG